ATGTGAACATGGTAGCCGAGCCGAAGCCTCACCAGACCGGACGTAAACGGCAAAACGTCACCAAGACCGGCAACGACTGGTAATTTATATCAATTTCCTCCGGTGTTTTATATTTCTCCATTATACGCGCATGCAACGCGCACTTGTTTCTAAATTGTTATGTATGTGTTTTTCTTTTTTTATTAATCCTTAACCGGTGCGGTGAAGAATCACGTTGATTCGTCGCATGAAAAAAGAAAAAAACATCGCACAAACTGCCATCGGATTAAATTGGGATATTCCGAGATCCCGAAATTGGGAGTCAGCGCATCGGAAGGTGATTAGTCGCGACGGTAAAATAGTTCATGCAAATATACGTTCTACCTAATGTATCTACCTTATTATTATCAACTTATCAACAACGTCGCTTATGATCGTCTGGCGAGAGAGAGAGAGAGAGAGAGAGAGAGAGAGAGAGAGAGAGAGAGAGAGAGAGAGAGAGAGAGAGAGAGAGAGAGAGAGAGAGAGAGAGAGAGAGGGAGGGAGAGAAAGGCTCGTTAAAAACGAAGCGAAACTCTTCGATCTTTCATCTCCGCGGCTAACTCGAGTGACGCTGGGTATTATATATCAGTGCGAATCTTTTATGCTCCTCTTTGTGTGACTACTCACTTTCTTTTACTCTTTTTACGACTTGCCGAGCTACCTCGGATTTGGGCTCACCCCATGTCTGATCAGAAAGCAGCCGACTTACGAGAAGGGAGAGAGGAAGCAGCGCGCGCTCGTCGCTTTTGAGTTGGGACTTTGATCCCCTTCGGAGAGCAGGCTTCTTCCGACTCATGCCGCATAGCCGATTAGGCCTGGTACATTCTTTTAATCAAATCTCCGGGCGGCACGGTGTTTCACAAAAGATCGCAGATCTTCGTCAAGCCGGCGCGCCGCGCGATCTCGCCGGCTGTCTGACTCCGCATCGCATTAATTAAGGGGTTAACACCCTGTATACGTGTAACAGCTGGCAACACGAAGAAGCCTCCACGCGCGCGCGCGCGCGCACACGTTCCTACAAATTCGCTGACAATCTACTACACAAGTAGCTTCCACCAAGGCGCGCGCGCGCGCGTCTTCTTCCGCTGGCACGTACTTGCGCCATCTCATCTTATCTGCTCGATTTTTCCCCGGCGCGGCGCGCATAAATCTTCGAGTGAGAGGCGGTTTCGTTCGAAGGACCGCTTTATCCTCGCGGCCTTAAGGTGCCGACGAACGAACCCTAAACTCGATGTATAAACCCGAAAGCGCCGAGAGCGTATTTTACGCGCGGAACGTGACCGCGAATTCACGAGAGCGAGTGCTCGCATGTTTGCACGCGAGACATACGCGTTGAATGAAAAGAACAAGAACAAAAAAGAAGGACGGGGTACCGTAATCGCGCCGAATCGCGCGTACAGGCGGAGAGGGAGGAAGAGAGGAAGAGAGAGGAGGGGGAGAGAAAGAGTTTGCGACTGGACGAGCGACGAAAACTGAATCGGCGTGTCGGCTCGCGAAGGCGATGCAAAGTGATCGATCACGACAGACGAGCTAAATAAAAATCCGTAATTTTCTGTAATGCTATTTACAGCGGTGAGCCTATTTAGCTTAATACGTGTATTGTTTTTCACTCCGTGCGTATTTTCGATCGCAGGGATTATTTTGAGAGATCCGTAAGTAATTAATCGGGTCGCAGCTTCGCGTATTAAATAATTAATTGTTACCTGTCACATTGTGTGGACAGTGCGGTGAAAACTGCCTCATTTATATGGCCGGCTAATTATACAAACCCGATTTATCCCGACCTAAAACGCTCAATTCATTATTAAGAAAGAAAAAAGAAAACAAAAAAAAGAGAAAGAAACGAACTCGCCTCGATTGCACGCGCGCGCGCGTGCGCGTGCGAATTTGTTCCTCCTTTCTGTAAAGAGCCGCCGGCTGGGAAAGAGCCCGGTCTCATAATTTCTCGATATTTCGTGCGTCACGAGCGCTCAACGCGCGCATATAATACCACCGAGCTTTTCTTTCCTCTTCTCTTTCCTTCTCTCTTTTTTTTTTCTTTTTTGCACCCTCGTGCGAATGACCGTTAAAATATCGGCACCACGGAAGAGGGTGTTTTATTTCACCTTCGGCTAAGAATTTAATTGCGGCTATGTTTCCGGTAATCTGGCTCGGTACTCGACACGCCAAGTATTTGCCGTGAGAGGTAAGAATGGACGTGGCGGAGATATTTTGCAGCGGGCTGATGCATTATCCGCGACAGATAGCGTCGTGGGAAACGTCGATACCTTTTCACGAACTAAGTCGCCCCCGCATCTCTTTCCCCCATTTTCGTTCTTTTACCAGCGCCTCGCTTTCTCCCTCTCCCCCATCTTCTCCCTCTCTCACTTCTTTTTTCTTGGAGACTAGAGGGAGAGAGAGAGAGAGAGAGAGGGAGAGAGAGAGAGAGAGAGAGAGAGTGTATGAGAGAACTCGACAATTCCCGAGCGCGCCCGTTTAATCGACGCCAATTTTCGATCGTTCTCAACGGTGTAATTCCGACGCGGAATCTTCAAGAAAATCCACAGAAACAGGAACATGTTTCGACAAGGACGATACCAGTGTCTAAATGTCAAGTGATAAGCAACTGAAGCTTTCAGACGCGCATCTTCCTGGCAAGACCTACGCAACTAAATGGAGACAAGAATCGGTAATTCGGCGAGATTTTTTGCGCAAAGTTTTCGCGTTTGTTCCCGACGGACACAAACATGCGGCAACAAACGGATGGTCGAATTAAAAAATGGAGAAGTTGAAAAATCAGCAAGGACTTCTCTCTGTGTCGAAGTTGCACGACTTTCAGCAACGATGCCGCAGTTCGCGACGAAACGGTTTCTATTGTCTCTTTTGTTTTAATGCGACGCCGAATCCTTTTCGCGCGTTTATATCTTGATAATCGCTCGAGCTTGAAGGGCTGTGATGAAACGTGTTATCGAATTTCCAATTTCGATTCGCCGGGGGAAAAAAAAGTGCAACACGTCACGCGCGAGAATTTTATTCTACTTTATCTCGAGACCTATTTTTTTTTTCATTTTTTTCCAGAATCACCATATTCCCGCATGTATCGGCAATAAAGAACGACCCTATATATTCATGGTAAAATGTAGCGGTTCACAGCACTTTTCCTGCATTTAAGGATGGGATAACATACGTTAAGCACCGACAGAACTTGGCATTCGCAGGGGAATTAAAGTTACACTACCCGAAACTATACAGCCGACTTATTTAATCCCTCGGTGCTTCGTTCAAACACACAACGCGCCGTCGGCGGAGGGAACAAAAGAAAATCGTTAAATTACCGTGCGAGAGTTAATATGGAGCCGTCTCTATCGGTGGTTTTTAACCCTCTTATGCGTCGCGCGACTCGCCCTTTACCGGAGCGGCCGCAAAGCCTTTGACGCTCTTCTCTCTTTTCCACCTCTCCCCTCCCCTCTTAAAATAATGCTGTTAAATGCATGAAATAAAATGCATATAAAATCACACGTAAAACCAATTACATCAGAATGCAGTTATCGAAACGTCGAAACGAGCGCGCGTAAAATATTACCTCCGATATATTTTGTTTCATATACGTCGAGACGTTAACAAAAAAGGAACACGGGGAAACAGAAATATTAACGAGAAAATGTTACCAAATTTGTCCTGTCGATAGCGAACAACAATTTCAGCGGAAGTTGAAGCGAGTGCAAAGGTGTAATTGTTTTCCCCGGTTCTTCTTTTTTTCACATCCGGCTTCTCACAGGCACCGTGAAATCTATCCGCGAACCTCTTTCGAGCTACGCGGACCTCTCTCGGATTAAAAACTAACCTCGATCTACATCAAACATGTACGAATCCACGGATAAACTCCTGCTCGCGCGATCGAATCGAATCGAATCGAATTTTTGGAGTGCGCGGAGTCTCGCGAAGCACGATAGAAAAACACGACAACCTCGAGAACGTCGCGTAATATCTGCGCGCGGATTTTCCAAGTCCTTCGCCTGTCGTCCTTTTAATGCAGCCGTCAATCTCCCGCGTCCTCATCCTGACCAGAAAATCCGGCCTGTGCGAGTCCTCGCCGAATACCGTGCGTCAAAAACCACTTTCGAGGAAAAAAGACAAAAGAGAGGTAGAGAGAGAGAAAGAGAGAGAGAGAGAGAGAGAGAGAGAGAGAGAGAGAGAGAGAGAGAGAGAGAGAAAGAGGGAGAAAGAAAAATAAGGATTATCGTACAACGCGAGCGTTGCACAACAGTACGCGGCTGAGGAATTCGTTTCTTTTTTAATAAATAAAATGGCTTATACGTATACAAGGTGTTTCGTTATCGTTCGGGCAACGTGTGTTGGATTCTCGTTTAACTCGGATATCGCTCAGAATTCCCTCGGTCTCTCTTTCGTTGTCCGATCGGAAGGAAAAATCGTTAATCTAACGATTATTACGACTGCAAAAAGGAATTCTGCTTGGAATCGGTCTTCACCTGCGCGCGCGTGCGTGTAAAGATTTTAGGTAATATTTTGTTGAGAGGAATATGCCTAGATTTGCATGCATTTAACGTAAACTATAGAAAAACGCGAAAGTAGGTCGCGATACGTGCTCATAATTCATTTTTATGGTGTTACGAAATGGAGCGCATCCCGAATGGATGACGTTATGCAAAAATAAGTTGACCCGCAAAACTGAAAAAAGAACCGACCGACAAACTGCGCGAGCAGGTGTTGCAGGTGAGCCGGCATAGAGCGCGAAGCTCTGAATTAGAAAGAAGATTGAAGTAACATTCGAGGAATCATGCGCGTCATTCGGGGGCAAGAGTGCCGATCTGCTATCGGCTGGAACGAATCATTTAGATGCAAACGCGAGAACCAATCAAGTCGCTCGCGCGCACAAGCGTGCGTGTTTATTTATTACAATGTAATTCCTCGGCTATTCGATATTCTCCGCGCGCGCTCCGTGTGATAAATGTTCGTATATATTTTAAACTTTCGCGTGTCCACATTTATGTTCGTTATTCATTGCACCGCGGACGTTTTTGCATAACGACGGTGTTTCGCGTTGCTCGCGACTCCCCG